TCAGCTTGTAGATGCATCGTCCCTCAATGTCTGCCACTGTGTGTGCCTCTTATCAGGACACCAGTTACATTAGATTAGGGTCTACTCTAATGACTTCATCCTACCCTGATGACATCTTTAAAAACCTTGTTTCCAAATATTGTCCCATTCACAGGCACCCAGGGTTAGGACTTACATACGATTTGGGGGAGGAGACACAATGGCACCCCCTGAACCATCTAGTATATATTTTATCTTGTTTCTATTCTGTGTCCCCACCCCATTAGAATCTAAGCTGCCCAAGGAAAGGCCTGTTTACCTGTCCTGTCCCTTGCTGTGTGCCAGTTGAGGGACCATCTGGCATCTGCCAGGTCCTCAGTTTACAGTGGCAGAATAACTGACAGCCAACTGGCCTAGTGGGTGTCCTTGTCCAGCTTCCCAGGTCTGTTACTCAAAGTGGCCCTGTTTATGGTGGTGGGGAGGAAGCGCGGCCTCCCTGGCCCCGGCCGCGACTCTAGTGCGCACGCGCGGCGCATTTCAAATCCTCACTAGACACCGCCGCCTTGGTTACCGCGCCTGCGCACTGGGCACTCTGGTCTGCGGGTGGGGAGTGGACGGCGTCCGAAGGATACGCGACAGGGAGGGGCTGTGGCAGCGGCGGCGTAGAGCCCTTCCCGGCTAGACTAGGCTGGGGAGGAAGAGGGAGCCGCTCCGAGGCCCGTGCGCCTCCGTCACTCTTCGGGGCACAGGAGGGGGAGTGCAGACATGCGCGCTGTGGCCGGGGTTCCCGGGCAGCGGCTCTGCGCGTGCGCGGGAGCAAGTTACGCGGAGCCGGCCGCGGGCGCCACCCCAGGCAGTTCCTCCCGGGGCTAGCGGGCCTCGGGTAGCGGCTAGGTCCGAGCCCCCGACGTCTTTTACTAAAGGGGGCAGTGCAGCCGGTCCCGCTGCGGTCACCTGCGTTCGTGCACTTGTCAACGTAGCCCCTCGCATCCCCGCCGCCTGCGCTAGGTGCGGTGTTCCGGCCCCTGGCGTGGGGTGGTGGCGGCGTCGGAGCCTGCTTCCTGGAGGGCCTGCTTACAGGCGTTGGGTTTCCTCTTGAAAATGGAAACTTCCGAGTCCGTTCCTTAATGCGACTTCCCCAGGATACTCAGGGAAGCAGATCGGGAGTTTGGGAGTCGGGCCCCCGGCTCAATTCTTCCAGCTGGCACCGAGTTGGCAGGGCTAGGTCGCCATCCCGGCGTCCGGAGTGTGGTGACGGCTGGCAATGACTGAGTTGGAATTCAACGCCGGCCTCACGTCCTGTGAAATCCAAAGTGGACGCCGGAGTGTCGGTGCCCATCACTGTTTTGCCCGCGCCTGCAAACACGGTCCCAGTCCAGGGCGCTGAAACTTAGCAGTGGCCCGGCTGCGCATGGCTGATGCCCTTTCAGCACAACGCCAGTGGCATATTTTCAACGCCTTCCTAATTATCTGCATCACAGAGGAGAGGACGTTACTGAGCGGGACACCTCAGACGTCGCACCCACTAGCAGGGTCCCAGTATTGCATGCTAAGATTTTGGGGCAAGTGGTGTTGACGATTAAAAATGAATGTTTTGGTTCAGACATTTTTAAGTACCTGTATGTTGTATATAGATGGAAATTATGGTCACGAATGTTAGTATATGTGCATTAAATAATCCAAAATATCGCAAACAGCCAAGTCCTTACTCTGGAGCTTTTTGCTTCCAGTGGCTGTTTCCAAAATCCTTGAAATCATACCTGGCTCCTCCCTCCCTCTGTCTCAGCAGCAGTATCCAGAACCCAATTACTATCCCCTCCCACCTTCACCCTTCTTTACCATCTCTATTTCTAGCCTATTTTAAAGCAGTGCTGGTTTCTATCGGGCTTCTCACTTTCCATTCTTGTCCCTTTCAGCGTTTTTGCTTGAGTGATCCTTTTAAGGAAAAAAAAAAAAAACTTTTTAAAGACAGTTCTTGCCACTCTTCTGCTCAGAACCCCAGAACCCTCTGGTGGCTTTCTTTCTGACTGAACAAAACACAATGGTTTTACTGTCACACACAAGTTCCTGACTGGTCCTTCTCACTCGTCCACCCACCTCACTTCCCAACTCTTCCCCTAATCCAGCCTGCTCCAGCCACAGCACAGGCTCCTGCCCCAGGGCCCTTGCACTTACTATTCCCGCTGCCTGGCATGCTCTTTTTCTGGGTATCCTCACAGCTCCCTCCCCACTCTCTTAGAAAGGACTTCCAGGTGGCTCTAAGGTCTTTTGTTCCCCTTTGCTGCTTGATTTTTCCCTTTGCATTTTTCTCCATTAAGTTTCCTAGGGCTGCAAACAAAACACTACAGACCAAGTGGCTTAAAACACAGCATCCTTACTCTCTCACACTTCTGGAGGCTGAAAGTTCAAAATCAAGTTGTCAGCAAGGCCTTGCCCTCTCAGAGCTGCCCCGTGCTTTTCTCTTAGTATCTGGTGTTGCTAGCCAATCTGGGCATTCAGCTTGTAGATGCATCGTCCCTCAATGTCTGCCACTGTGTGTGCCTCTTATCAGGACACCAGTTACATTAGATTAGGGTCTACTCTAATGACTTCATCCTACCCTGATGACATCTTTAAAAACCTTGTTTCCAAATATTGTCCCATTCACAGGCACCCAGGGTTAGGACTTACATACGATTTGGGGGAGGAGACACAATGGCACCCCCTGAACCATCTAGTATATATTTTATCTTGTTTCTATTCTGTGTCCCCACCCCATTAGAATCTAAGCTGCCCAAGGAAAGGCCTGTTTACCTGTCCTGTCCCTTGCTGTGTGCCAGTTGAGGGACCATCTGGCATCTGCCAGGTCCTCAGTTTACAGTGGCAGAATAACTGACAGCCAACTGGCCTAGTGGGTGTCCTTGTCCAGCTTCCCAGGTCTGTTACTCAAAGTGGCCCTGTTTATTGCTTTCAGCACTGTGAGTTTTGTTTTATCTCCTCGTGCTCTGTCTGTGCAGTCTGCCACTAGCTAATCCCCGTTAGTGTGATTCATCAGCCACCAGACAACTTTTTGTAATTAAAGCCAAGGTTTTGTGGTTTATATATTTGATCATAAATGTTTTCATGTTAATGAGGAACAATGTATTTCTTTTAAGGTAAGGTTTATGGAGACATAATTTATATTTAGGAAAATTCACTCTATTTAGATATACAGTTGTATGTGTTTTTTTAAATTACTGTTTCAGGTTAATTTGAAGATACGAGGAATTGGGTTGCAATGTTTGCATTTGTTAGGTACAGTCCGTCTTATAATTATGTGGCACCCCCAAGAAATGTGCCACGTACCCTAACATTGTGCCTATTAAGTGGGAGCACACCCATGCCCTTCCTTCCCCCTTTCCCTGCTCCCTCATTCCCTCACCCCCCACATTGACTTGTTTTGAGTTTTCTCTTATGTGGACGTATATTAGATCATCTACTGGCTTCATATTAGTATTGAGTGCATTGGATTTTTGTTTCTCCATTCTTGTGATACTTTACTAAGAATGCATTTCTTTTTTTTTTTTTTTTTTTGAGACAGTGCCTAATGCTGTGGCATTACAGCTCACAGCAACCTCCAACTCCCGGGCTCAAGCGAGTCTCCTGCCTCCGCCTCCCAAGTAGCTGGGACCACAGGCGCCCGCCACAATGCCCAGCTATTTTTTTTTTTTTGGTTGCAGCCATCATTGTTGTTTTGGCAGGTCTGGGCTGGGGATTCGAACCCGCCATCTTAGGTGTACGTGGCTGGCGCCTTAGCCGGTTGAGCTATAGGCGCCGAGCCTGAGAATGCATTTCAACTCCATCCAGGTTAATGCAAAAGATGTAAAGTCTCCATTTTTTTTAATGGCTGAATAGCATTTCATAGTATATTCCATAGTATACCACAATTTGTTAATCCATTCCTGGGTTGGTGAGCATTTAGGTTGTTTCCACAGTTTGGTGATTATAAAATGAGCTGCAATAAACAGTCTAGTATAAATGTCTTTTTGATAAAATGATTTTTTTCTTCTGGGTAGATGCCTAGTGGGATTGCAGGATCACCTGAAATTGGAGGAAGGGTAATATTAGAGATTACACTATGGCTTTACAATTTTTCTCATGAGAAAGTGATTTACAAAGTGAACTCCATGGACTACCCATGCCAGATTCGTCAGTGCTGGTCAAAATGCAGATACCTCGTAAAGGTTGAAAACCTCTACCTAAACCACTGGCATGAACAGGTAATGTAAATAACTGAAAAAAATCAGGGCGTGTATATATTAGCTATGCTGGGTAGCAAACCATCCCCACACTCAACAGTTTGATGCAAGTTAT